AGTGCTATGACAAAAGCCAGAAATATGGTCATAAGTCTTGATTTTTTCTGTTCTATTAATCCTATTAATTCTGCCAAAATATATCTCTAGACCATTAACTTTCTTTATCACTGTTGTCACCATCCTAAGTCTCCACTTCTGTCATCTCTTTCTAGACCATGCATTTCTCTCAGTCTTAGCCAGTAAGACCATTCTTTTCAGTGACTGAAGACACCTAGAAAGGCCACGCTGACCATAATAAGGAAGGGTGTTAGTAACATGGGAAATTGACTGGGCATATGGAAACCCCAAGCTGGCTCTGAACTTGCTATTTAACTCAGTCTGGCCTGAAACTCACAATCTGCCTGATGCGGCCTCCCAAATGCTGAGATTACAGGTGTGTGCTACTGCAACCAACTTTTAAATTTTTTTTAAAATCAGGCAAAACTAACCATTAAATTTGCTGTGTAAAACACTTTAGTGGCGTGTGTGTGTATGTGTGTGTGTGTGTGAGTGTGTTACCACTTAAGAGATAATCCCAAACTTTCTTAATGGCCTATCAAAGAATGTGGTCTCTTCTGCCTTCCTCCTGTGACAGTCCTCCCTTTTCCTACTCCAGCCCCCTGCCATCCGCTGCCAGGCTTCTTACTGACCAGGGCTGAGTTGCACTTCTGCTTTCCACCTCTTAAACTCTAACTCTCAGATCTCAGCTCATGTCACTTCCTCATGTCATTCTTACATCATCCTGCGTTTTCTTTTAGGACACTTATCAGTTGTGATTAATTTGTGTTGTGGAGATTTTTAATTTTATTTGTACTTTTTGTGGTTCTGGGGATTGAACTGATGGCCTTAAGGATGCTAGCATGTACTGTACAAACCAGTTACACCCTCAGCCCTCTTGTGGATAGAGTGGAGTTTTAATTTGATTGGCTTTGAGACAACACCTGGGGATTGTTGGTGCACACGCCTCGTTTGTCTGGGTGGGTCATGGAGGAGAGGCCTTGGAGTCTATGTCTGATACCCATCTGCTTGGGCTCTCACACTCCTCCCCTGGTCTGCTTCCCAGCCACAGTGAACGAAGCAGTTTTGCTCTGTCGCACCTCTTGCCTGTGATGTCTCTGCCTTGAAGCCAGCTAGTCATGGACTGAAACCTCGAACAAATTAAACCTCTTCTTATTTGTGTGTGTTGACTGTTGTCTCAGCAATGAAAAAGCCGTATTGGTGATTTTCTTTTTAAATGTCTATTCCATCGAACTGTGAGCTTCAGAGGGCTTAAACCTGTTTCTGTCCTGCTTATTGTGCTTCGCATAGTACCTGGCACATAGTAAGACTCATAAATTGTTAATGAATGAGCAATCGGATGAAGAGAAAAGAAATATTGTGACATTTTTGCCTATTGCTATTGAGGACCCAAGCAGTGCAAATGGAGTGGATTATAATGGTGTAATTTGCTCATAAAACCACAACTAAAATTAATATACATTAAAAACTAGCCAGAACTCTTCCCTTCTTTTTCTTGTAGTTAGCAAAGATTTACAAAGAATTAATCACTAACGCATAAGTTGAGAATGTGAAAGGAAAGGGAAAAACTTAAAATATTTTAAACTTTATGCTAAATTTAGAAGTATTGATATATCAATTTCATGTTACATTTTAGTAAAGTAGAAACTAATAGCTTAATTTCTGAAATGGCTTTGGTGTTTTATTTATCACAGGGATGCATACTTGTTATATTAAAGAATTATGGAGTCAGAAGGCGAAAGTAACTCAACCAAGACATTGTATTACGATCTGTAATTTCAATGAAAAATGTTCCTACACTTCTGTCATATTTTTAATCATGGGAAGACTGTCCAGTATGTTTACTTCCCATGAGAGAGCTTAAATAGTCTGATTTCATCAACAAAGAGACAAAAAGGCACCAAGCAGTACATACACTGGGCCCAAACAAACATTTCACTTAAAAATAATATGCCTTATTTGCCTACTTAATGATATATGCCGTCTGACTGCTTCCATTAAAAGGAGCTCATTTTACTTGAGTGATGGAGGCCCTCAGATATATATCCTTGAAGGGATCCTGGAGTCCAGGAGAAAGTGCGAGGAGAGATTTCCATCACTGCCTTTATTGCAAATGTGAGCAAACCTGCAGCGACACCCACTCCCCTACCCTCTCCCTTTCTTAGTGGGAAGGGACTTGAGACAAGAAGATGCATCTGGAATTATACATATCAAACTGTTAATAATGGGCGCAATTAAGGAATGAGAATGAGGAAGGAAATTATTTCTTTTGTTATTAAAAAGTCATTTTTGACTAAAAATAAATTATGTTGTATCAATATATCTCCTAGCTTTTGGTTTTCTCAACCTGTTTTACCTTGTGTAATCTGCTTTCCTTTTTTTCTTTTGGTCTGGGACTGGGAATTGAAACTGGGTCTCTCTACCACTCAGCTACGTCCTCAGCCTTTTTTAATTTTTATTTTGAGACAGTCTCACTGTGTTGCCCAGGCTGGTCTCAGACTTGTGATCTTCCTGCCTCAGCCTCCGGAGTAGCTATGATTGAACTTTACCTTGTGTATAATGACTTTTGATAATATTTTAAGGATATTTTAAGGATAGTGGTAAGACAGCCAGTAGTGGCTTTTTGCTAGTCATTAAGCTAATCACTCACCACCAAACAGTCTCTTTAAAACTTTAGCATGTATTTTGTTGATGATTTTTTTTTTTCTTGACAGAATGTGGATAAATACTCAACAGTTCCTCACAGGTTAAGATGTGATGATGACTCTGAGATGTAGAACTCTGTGAGGCCTTGATGGCACATTTAGCTATGTATAAAGCAAATCCAAAGTATTGTGCTGAGTATCTCAGCCTTCATCACACTGTAGGATTGAGGTTGGATGGCTTCTCCTTTCTGTCCTTGTTAGGCACCTGAATTTTCTGGGGACTTTGTTGTCTTGTTCTCAGTAGGGCTTTTCCTTTCCTGGCTTGAATCAATAATAACAGAAAAGGCATTCTATGACCCTGTTGCTGTTTGTTATCCCTAAAAACTTCTACTGAAAGAAACCAATTCCTTTTTTAGGGTAGTGGCATTGAACTCATGAGCTTGTGCTTGCCCGTCTGGCGCTTATGCTGCTGAGCTAAATTCCCAGCCCCAAGAAACCAATTCTTATGGTTTGCCTAAAGATTTACTTTTCCTGAAATATATGCAAGTCCCAAATGAAGTCAGAAAACTAAATGAATACATAAAACTGGCCTTCTCATTGGATGATCCCACTAAACTGCCCTTTGAGATGATGCCATTAACTGACAAGTGACAGCAGGTGATACAATATCTCTTATTTACTCAGAAGTGTTCAGACATTCTTCATTACACAAGCATAGGGTTTCTTGTCTATAAACCCCTGTGAAAATTGCCTTCTGAATGTTCAGGAGGAATGTGGTTAGAGATGACTGAGTTTGAAGCCTGATGGTGTATTTTTTTCCCTTGGCTGTTAAAAAGCATCTTGAGTTTCTCTCCTGTCAAGCATGCATGACTTCATGTTATATGTTTCCCAAATCACCAAAGGTTCCAACTTGCTTTTTCTATCTTTAATTTTCATTTATTCCATTTTTTGCCGTATTAACCATGTATTTTAAAAACCAGTATGCATGTTTTGGAACATAGTGGATATATGCAAAATGATTTGATTATTGTTTCAAATAATACAAATCAGTATATAACCAGGTTTTATGAATGAAATTATATAATTATGTTTACTTTTGCTTAAACATCATCATGGTCTAGAAAATTTGATTTTAATGCAGTTCACTGTCTAGACCTAAAGAATGAATATGCAAAAACATTAAGAGACCACCATTAGTATTTCTGAGTCCTTCATTTGTTTGAATAAGCAACTTCTCAAAAGTAAAATTATTCTCCTTGAATATTTTATAGATTTCAGTAAACTGATAGTCACCGAACTATTTATACAGTTACTTTCTGATACCTACATAGTGGCTTATCCATAGCAACAATTCTTTTCAAGACTTAATAGAGCCAATGCTGCATTTATTAGGGAAATAATATCACCAGGTTAAACAAACTGTGACTGTTGGTTCTGTGTATTTACCCTCTTTCAAAGAGCTCTGCCCAACCTTCAGTGTGTTTTGTGTTGTGTATCGTTGAGAAGCTGAATAAGAGTATGACTCTACGATTCTGAATGTATCAATTTTATAGTATATTTAGAGTCAAATAAAAAAAGATGATGAGCAAGTAAAGCTTTAGAAAACTAAAGTACTATTTTGTGTATTGAAAATTGGGCAGATTCTACTTTGAACACTAGAAATCAGAGCTGTATTATGGTAAATATCACTCCCAGTGTATAGAGGAGGAGTAGAACATATAATATTGGCTCAGGAAAACACATTCCTGGTTGTTTTAACTCTGGAAATTACTTCTGATGTGGTATCTATAAGAAAGGCTATGCCTCAGAATAAAAAATGGTAGTTTCAGAATTACACAGAGTTTAACAAGAGAACAGATTTATTTTAAAGAATTTTAATTGCTGTTGAGATGTAAATTAAACTTAAGATCTTTCATGTCTCTTGTTGAGAAATGAAGTAGAATTTAAAATCATAGAATGTTAGTTCATCTAATCCAATATTCTTGTTTTATAGACATGAATGTGTTTAGAAACTACTACAAAAGCTGTGTCTCTCATCTCAAATGTCCTTGTACAGTATAATTTTTCTTTCTAAACAGAAACTCGTTAAAATTCCACCCTATAATTTGTCTGAATGAGAATACAGTAACCTTTTACAAGAGTAGATTGATTAATAATTCTGTTTTGTTTTTTGATCTAATAGAATGGAGTACATGTTTTTCCTTATTAGATTTTTATGTAGATCAATAGTGGCTCTGCATTTATAAATTCGTTGAACTTGTTTTTAATAAAGTGTTTTCTATGACAAATACCTATTTTTTCATAATGTGTTTAGAAGTTTTAGCACTTAAATTATTTTTTTGTTTACCTTTACAGATTCTGGAACTTTGCAAAGTCTGACCCTCTTCTTGAAACAGTGGAACATCATACAGAGTTTACTTGCGGCTTAGATTTTAGTCTGCAGAGCCCCAGTCAGGTAATGGGTTCAACCTTGTGGTGTGTTTGTTTGTTTGTTTTTTTCCTTACCCATCCAGTTCAGAAATAGCTCCGCATGTGGGATGTGTTATTTTTGTGAATAAAATTGTTGCCTGTTGGTCTCACTAGGCACACTTGCTTAATTCATCTGACCTCCTTTGTTATGTGAGCTGTAGTACTTGAGCAGTGCAATACTGGGGAAAATAGATATCCAGAAAACACCTCTTGATAGATTGACCTCTTTTGAAAGGAAAAGGAACCTTCCTAAGAAGTGCTGTTGTCTGACATGTTGGTGGCTCTGAGAGTGTCTCTCCCAGTAGGTAGAGTAAAAAGAGAAAGGTGGGATGGGGAGATGTATCCCCAGGGCTTGGTGGGACTCAGGAACATGTGGTCCTGCACTCAGCACTAAACAGCTGAGAACACAGGCAGGTCATTTCCCTCTGGACTGTCGCCTTCCTCTCCATACTGTATGTCCAGTGGGAAGCTTCAGATGGAGACTGAAGTAGGAGAGAATTGAATATCTGTTTTAATGAATCAACTTTTTAACACTCTAATCTTCAGGTTTTTTAAAACAGCTATTTTACTTTCAGAAATGGTAAATTTAAGTCAGAAACACTATATAATATTATTGACTGATAAAGCACTGATAAAATAATTATTATATCTATAACTATAACTATTCTATAATTAGTATTCTATCCTAGTTTTAAAAAATTGTCATGTTCCCATTGACACATGGCAATATCGAGGAAAGAATCCTGTGTAAATGTACATTAAGTATTCATTTGCATGTGTTTTCATTATCTCTGCTCTGTGAGACCCAGACAAGGATGTGTGATATCCAAGGCTGCTCCATTTCCTTTGTTTTCCAAATTTGGAAAATGCCAAGAATTATCTAAATCCTCCGTAGACTCACCTTATTACAAGGAACCTTTCAAACAGAGAATTTAATGACACCTATCCTTGAGGAATAAAAAAGTTTTTATTGTGAGACCATACATTTTGTTTCTAGCCTGGCAATTGCTGTCTATCTCTTCCAGTTAGATAACCAAATTCTATTTGTACTCAGGAAGTAGTTGGTGTTGAGGGCAGCCAGGGGCAGAGAAGCAGGAGTGTTTGAGTTGTAAATAACCAGCAGGTCCAGGGGCACAATGTGTAGTTCAGATGTCCCAGAAATCCCCTGATTTTATTCATAATGAACACAGTTTTAGTACTGGGAAGTCTTGGATTGAGTACTTCCTCTCATTGATTTATTCTTTTAACAAAATGTTTTCATATGCCAGACCTTGTGGTAGGTTGCAGGGGAATTCAGGGTGTAATAAAAATAAGCATGGCCCCTAACTTTATGAAGCACTTAATAATCCAAGTTACAGCAGATCATCAGATCATGAATGTGAATGGATGACTGTGACAGCTTCTGTGAAAGAGAAACTCATTGTGCCTCAAGTGTTTATGTTCAGAATTGGGATTTGACCTAGTTAAGGGATTCACAGGAAATGAGGCCCACGTAAATGAGCAGGTGACATCAGTACGAAGCAACAGAGGAACATGATAAACAGGCCTGTGATGGGCAGAGCAGGGCTGTTATGGCACTAGAGAATGGGAGAATGTTTGTCCTCTTGATTTATAGTATTCAACAGTAGAATTTTAAAAATATGTATTGATTGGCTTGTCATATTTTGAAAAATTGAGTGTTGAGATTATTAAATTTTATGTTTTTCTTACATTAATGTGCTTGAGCTGTCATGAGAAAATAGTGAATCTGTGTTTGCTTAAACAATAGAAAATCATCTTCAGAGTTCTGGTAGCTAGAAGCCCTGGATCAAGATCCGACAGGAAGTTTTCAGTGTAGGCAGTCTTCCTGGCATATAGATGTAGCTTTTGTTGTTATGTGTTGGATGTGAAAAGCGGGAAGAAGAAAGAACTCTGCTACTTCTCCCCATAAGGACAGGGATCCCTGTGAGATCCGGGCTCCACCTTTATGACCTTATTTGACCTTAACTACTTCCATCTCCAAATACAGTCACATCGGGGATTATGGTTGCACCTTGTGAATTTTGGTGAGGGCGCACAATTCAGCTCATAGCTCAGGGTTACTCAGGGTTAGTTAGTTCTTTTAAGTTTTGCTGTGTGTTATATAGGGCATATTATTAATTATTACTTAATGTATTTTAATGCCCTACAAGTATTCTTACTTTCTCTTAATGTTCCTATGACATTCGCTAATTGACTCATTATTCTGTCATATTTATTGACCAGATATTTGTCAGGTGCTCTGTAATAGGTATTGATCTAGGTAGTGAGAAAATGTAGTGATCAAAACAGACTAGATTTTGACTCTTATGGAACTTACATACCATGGGGGAAATCTAATTATCAAGTAAACAAATAAGATGATTACTTGTAGCAATAAGTGCTGTTCAGAATTGGGGTGATTTGACAGAGACTGTTGGAGAAGGGGTACTTCTGCCTAAAAAGTTTATCAAACACCAACTGAAAAAAAATGAAGTTTGAGCTGAAATTGAAGAAAATGAAGCTGGCCATCAAAGTATCTAAGGAAAGAATATTTGTCACAGAGGTAATGGCAAATGCCAGGTCCTTGAGATGGTAATCAGTTTGGTATAATTAAGGGACAGTAAGAAGGCCAGTGTGGCTGGAGCCTGGAAAATGAGAGGGAGAGTGATAGGAAGTACAGAGACCAAATTGGGTAGGGCCTTGTAGACCATACAGTGATTTCCCCTATAATTGCATTACAAAGCCATTGGAGGTTTAAAGCAGAAAAATGATAGAATCTGATTTGTGATTAAACAGTAATTCCAGTGGCTGTGGAAGAGTAGACTATGTATAAGAGTGAACGCTAGGAGGCCGGCTGGGAGACTCTTGAATCATATAGGCAGTGGTGAGTTAAAGTCAAGTTCTAAAGGTGGAGAGATGGAAAGATTACGAATGTATTATATTGAGCTGTATTAATTTGCTGGAACTTTGGTATGGCTCACCCTAACATTTTGAAAATAACAACAGTAGAATTTACTGATGGTTTGGGAACAGGCTATAAAAGAAACAGAAGAATCAAGTTTTACTTCTAAGATTAGGAGATGTGCTGGGCAGTGGTTTAATTTAGTGAGCTAAGAGGGGAGTTTGGGGACGGAACAATTAACAGCTGTGTTTAAGATCTGTCCCGTTAGATGTTCAGATGGGTCTATTGGCAGTTAGAAATAGGTTTGTCCACTTTAAGGGACAATTTATTTGCAAAAGTAAAATGTGTCACAGCAATAGAACAGGGGAAATGAAGGAGAGACTGGAAGTGTACCATTGTAAAGTTCTTATTCCAAACTGATAGAATGTTATTTGAGGGTAGATTATGATAAATTCAAAATGTATATTGTAAACTTTCTGGTAATCACTGAGAAGTTTTTAGCAAAAGGTAAACTAACAAGCCAGTATAACTAACAAGCTGCTTATTGAGTAAAGCAGAATTATAAAAATGATCAATTACCTCAACATAATAGAGGCCATGTATGAAAAACCAACAGCCAGCATTACACTCATTGAAAAAAGACTGAAAGGAGCCAGGTGTGGTGCCACATACCTATAATCCCATCATTGGGAGGCTGAGGCAGGAGGATCACTATGAGGTCAAGACCAGCCTGAACTACATAGTTAAGCCCTAACTCCAAAAACAAACAGAAAAGGTCTGAAAACTTTTCCTCTAAAATGAGGAATGAAACAAGAACATCCCACTTGCATTCAACATATCATTAGCAGTCCTAATCAGAGGAATTAGGTAAGAAAAAAATTAAAGACATCTAAATTGAAAGGGGAAAAGTAAAATATCTCTAGATGACATGATTTTTGGTGTAGAAAACCTTTAAATTCAAGAGTATTGAGAATTATGTTAAACATAAATAATGTAAATACTCCCAATTAAAAGATAAAAACCAGTAAATGACTTTGGACCTATTAGATTTCATATTTGAAGAAGACATTTTATAACTCCAAGCTCTAGGATTCAGTTACCTCTTGTATATTTTTAATTTTGTGCTTGCAATATTTTGATTTCTGGAAATTTATCTTAGTTTCTCTTTCTCTTCTTTTTAATCTCAATTTTATTGATATTCTCTTGTTGACTTTAAACTTTTCTTTCAAACTAAGATGATGATCCCAATCAATGTTTGGTTTTTCACAGAAATATCTAACAATGCATTCTATCACAAACGTTCAAACTATTTATATTTTCATAAATTATGTTTTATTAACAAATAAAGTATTGAACTTTCTAGGGGAGAGAGGAATCAAGTTTTTAGTATAGATCGGTGTTTTTCAGTCACTTGTCTTTCGTTTCTCTATTACTGGCTAGGTGGTTGAGATGGCCTCTTTCAGGTGTGTGATGCCCCTTGTCCTTTGGGCCTGTGTGTGTGTGTGTGTGTGTGCAGAGGGAGCAGCCCAGACTTCAGTTAGCAATTGTGCACTCCCAAGACAGTGAGAGCAAAAGCTGCAAAGTGTCTTGAGGCCTAGACCTAGAAGTCATGCACCATTCCTTTTCTTACAAAGTAACTTGGGAGTCTAGTCAGGATCCAAAGAGTGTGGGATGTGGGCACCAGCTCTTGATGAGAGGAGCTGTGAAAAACTCATTTAACGTCTTCCACACTGATCTTCATTGGTAGAGTGTGGTATAAGTAATTTTTGACATATTGTATATGAATACAGTACAGATAACCTTTATTCTCACAACATGTGGTCAGTTTGACTGTATACAAGTTACTTTAATTTCATCTTTTGTTCTTATATTATTCTCTTAGAAAATGCCTTTCACCACTTTAGTATCTTTCCATCTGCTTAAGCCTATTGTCTCTTGATGTTAGCAGCTGCAGGACCTTCCTGACACTACCTTACAATAGTCAATCTTAATATATTCTGTGTCTTTAAAGAGATTTATCTGAGTCCTTCTATTTATAATGCTTTTTCTTTTTAGCTTCTCCCTTCTTAGAGATCTAGGGAAAA